TTAATATGTTCTTCATGTTCCTCTTCCTCTGCCAAAAGGGCGATAATCACCAAGTCTCAATCGATCATATTGAACACGTCTATCTACGCCGGATTTTGGCATCGAATTGGTCATGCACGCCTCCCTAGCAACCCAGAGCACTTTCAATGGATCTTGCTCACGGAGGCGCGTGGATGCCGCCTGCATGGTCGAGTAGTCAAAATTTTGCTCTAGCATGCGCGAGCATTTGCAGTTCGGTCTGCGCTTACCCAACAGACTCATTTCGACTGAAAAAATGTCCCAAAGATTTTATTGCTCGAATTATCCAACGAAGTAATTTAAAATGAAGCTAAACATAAAGCAAATACATTACTTCATAAGGCTAGTAACAATATGTATATATATTGTTACTGGCCTAATAATATATTATGTATTTTAATGATTAATATAAATAATATATTAACCATTAAAGCTTTTTTATTGCGATATTTAGCATAATGCTCGCGCCATTCTTTTTTTACTTTACTATGTTCTCGTGGAATCATATCTTTTACTAGGGCTGCCATCCGTCCGGGTTTCCTCGGATTTGTCCTAGTTTGGAAGACGTCCGGGGAGCGTCCGGGCGGGGCTTAAATTGTAGACCGGGTGCAACCTGGGCTACAATAAAAGTCCGGGTTTTCAATCAGATCCCGTTCCCATAATTTATGTAAATAAAAGCTATGGGTAAGGATAAGGTATTTCACCGCACGCGCTGTCGACGCTATTTTACTACGCGGCCTCTGCGCCAAATTTCAACTTTCTCAAGGCAAAGTCAAAATTATTTATTCATAAATTTTTATTTCATTTAACAGCAATTGTTAATAAAATAAGTCATAAACATTTTTTTTAACACTATGTCCGTTGACAAAGCTGCAGTGAAGAACAGACAAGAAACTCGATGTTTGCTTTTTCAAAAACTGATTGTGCAATTTTTCTTATTTACTTTAAAGTGGTCTTTCCATATAGTTTTGTCATATAATCGTAGCCAATCTACATTTATGTAGTGCTAGTTTGTTATTATTTCTAGTATTAAAGTCATGCAGATGACTATTTGTGATAAATTGATGTAGATTCTGACGAACGTAACATTATGTTAGTAAAAATATATTGATGGTACTGTCATAATGTTTCTGCTTAAACAATTCTAGGTGTGAGTGTTTGGGTTGGGCTGTGATGAATCAGTGAGTGAGTCCTTTAATTTAATATATGAAGAATTTTATTAAAATTCTAAGAAATATAGATATTTTCTATTAATTATTTATTAAAATGTAAATTGTCTGAAAGGCAGTAACTGACACTGGTTCTTTTTAAGAGAACTGCCGTATTCGTTTAATTGTTACCACAAAGGTAAAATTCATAACATAAGCTATTTAAGTTTTAATTCTGTCTAGTGTATTTAAAATTTGAAGGCATTTTAATGTTATGCTTTAAGATTGCCAAATAATTAAAAACTATATGTAGTTTTCTTTTAATTTAAATTATTTACATTCTATGAATGTAGACAACAAATTGTGTTTTATTTGTCTGTAATATATAGAAATAAACATGTAGAATTGCAAAAAAAAAAGTAAAAATTTATGGTTTTTTAAGTTTTACTTCTGATTTTAGTCCATTTTAAAATTTGAGGACATTTTGATGTTATCAAAGTTAAGAAAGAACGATTAAACACACGATTTCATGCAACAAAAGAGGCTTAAAATTAAAGTTTTCTTCTATCAAGTACAGAGTAGATGTAAGTGAATGATAAAAGTATTGAAATGTCCGGGGTGAAAGCTCCAAAATCCGGGGAACTTACGCTTCCGGTCCAGGGGGCCAGGTTTTAGAGATGGCAGCCTTATCTTTTACTAATTTTCTACTTCCTTTCTATTATTCTTCAAGTATTTTCGCCTTTTTATTGGATCATTTTTTATTCGTTCGAAACGTCGACGTTCTACTTCTCTTTTTATAGTAAGTTTTTTTTCGAGGGGCCATTTTATATCCATAAACATATTTACGAGTCAGTCCTCTGATGAGTGCCAACAGCCTCCTGTGTTTGTTTAAGTCAGGGCACTGTTAAAACTAATGAAATCACAAGATATCGTAAATATTACTGAAGTATTGGAATTCATTGGCATTCCCAGAGTTCAGTGTCCATTAAAGAAATAACATCAAAAAGTAATAAATGCAACAACAAACATGAAGTATAAAAAAGGGATTCACCAGAGGACTACTGCTCGAACTAGTTTTACGTGGATATCCGCTCGAACAGTTCGCGCTACACTAAACAAAATGGCGATGCGTTTGCGTTCCCAAACTTCAAGGGAGCCAACTTCACACCGGTAACGTTCCATTTCACTCAAATCATCGTGCGGTCAGGTAAAGATATCATATTAGTAGCATTTTATAAGTAAACCAGGGGACAACGCTCAAATTTTTTAGACAAAATTCTAGCTCAGTTTTGTACAATTCAAAATCAATATTATGATTGAGAAATGATGTTTTTATATAAATGAACTACAAATTTATGAAAACTATTACTTAATGGTTTACTTACAATTACAAACATTTAAAGTAATTGATTGAGAAATGTTTTTTGAATTAGTGACCAACCAAGGGACTGTTTTTGGTATATAGAAAATAAATAAATAATGATTAGAAAACTAATTTCTCAAATTTTATAACATGCACGCATGTAATTAATTATAGATTTATATCTAAGATTAATATTACAATGGTTTTAGGAAGTTTCGTAATAAAAATCATGCGAAACACTGAGTTGCCCAGTTAGTGGAGAAATACACATCAATTAAACATTTTTAAAAGTTATGTCTCTCTGTATGTCTGTCCGCGCTAGTCTTGGGAATGGCTGAACTTATTGTGATTGAAACTTTACGTACAGATAGAGATAAATGAAACTTCACGTACAGATAGAGATTAATTCCAGTGATGTAGACTGTATTTTATCCGAAAAACATGGAGTACTTCTCACAAAAAGTTCTTAACGCTTCATCTCCTTGCTCTTAAAATTTTAATGTTAAATCAATTTTTAAGATATTTTTTTTCACTTCTCGACCTTTTTACTACAAAAATATGTGCTGTTAAATGATATAAGATTTAAATTTTTATTTTCAACTTCATCATGGCTCTTAAATTAATACGTAGTAGATTGTAGTACTATAGTGTGTGATACTCATACCTCTCCTCAGTCTGTATTTATGTAACTCAGATCAGAAAATCAATTTAACTGACCGTGTGTGTAGGCTATATGGATAGCTCCAGAACGTTCGGTCGATTCGACCGGTAAAGGATCATGCTCGCAGAGAATGCCAGTCAAAAAGAGAATGTACAGTAAGCGACGAGAAATAAATATCAAAAACACTCACGGCTATCACCCAGAGGGCTAGGCAGAGAAACAGACTTCCATTTAACACGATCCTGACATACCTTTCTCGCCTCCTCCACATCCATACACCTACGCATACATGCTCGTTGCTTAAGCATTTGGTCCATTTTCAATATATCGCTAATTTGGTCGAAGAAATAAATAGAGACCCGTTTTTACTGGTAACGTGGCAATTCATATTACCCCTTAGGGTTGACAATCCATCTTCATCATGATTCTTATATATGCAAATGTCTGAGCCACAACATTCACTGTTTGTGTGACTGTGTGCTCGTTTGTCATCCATATTTCGATAAGAAGTGTAATTTTAAGTAACTGTCCTTGATTCATTACTTACTTGATTATTTCTATACGAAACTTTAAGTTCAATATTTTTAAAACAGAGCAACCAATTTGGAAAAAGAATACAACGATAAGAAGTGCTGGAGTGCAACTTAAGCTCATCGGATGGAAATATTACACATTTTATATTTACCACAAGCTCTTTCTTAGCATGACGGTAATGTATATATATAAAAAATTGTAACACAACGAAGATATCCACTATCATATCATCCCGTGAGTGGCGTAAAAGGCGACGGAGGGAATGGAAACTGGAGATAACAACAAAAAATTTGATGGCCAACAAAATTGATGGAAAAAGCGTGGCGACTACGACAAACATCCTCCCTATGAGGCAATCTATGGGGCAGGCCGATTATAAGGGATGAACTTGTGGATATTAGTATTATTAGTCGATGAAATGGAATTTTTATTTAAATTCACCATTATTAGTTTTAATCTGTACAATATTTTTAATCATCCTTACTGCCGCGTTTCAATTATCCTTTTATACGCGCTGAAGCCACGTTACAGCTATAGATATATCTGTAGCAAGAATGGATCAGCTCGACCGGGGTAGGACCACGCTCTTACAGAATACCAGGATTTTTAGCAGATTTAGTTGTAGCACGAATGGGTGGGCCCGATCGGGCAAGAGCCATAATTGATAGAATAAGAGCGTAAAATAACAGTTTTATTCTGCTGCGTGTGGTGATTAGTAGAAGAAGATATATATGGTCCACAGTATCCACTTACCATCAGGTGGTGAAACCCTGAAACCTGTTGATTCTATAAACAAGGCGTAGGCTACAGAATCCACTTGACATCAGGTAGACTGTTTCGCTTAAAATAATTATTTGTACTACATAAAGTTGTTGAGACTTACCAGCAACTTAACCACATGCTCACTTGCCACCACTTCTATAAGAAACAAAAAATTTGAAAAACGGAATTTGTCTCTAAATGTAAATGTTTCATACATGGTAGAGCCACGCTGCAGCTATATTATGGTTGTACCACGCTCTCACAGAATACCAGCGTAAAATAACAGCTTAATACTGCTATGTTTTGTATGGTGAGTGTAGAGATCCGAAGACCCTTTTTTCAGAATGGACCACACCAGTACACACATTCTACTAAGCGGCAGAAATAGCTAAAAGTGTACCTACATAAACGCACAATTAGACAGATTAGGTGTCCTACCACCTGGTCTCAATCACCTAGACTACCCACCTAGCCTATCCTCAAAGAAGCTAATGATAATGTTTTATGATTACAGATATTATCCGCGGTGACTGCTGGTGTCGCGATGGGAATTTCGCTTTCCTCCTTACTGACCTATTTGGAGAAGGATCATAGTGTGAAAAAATCCCTTCAAGGCGAAGTAAGTACCTACACTTTAACTCAATTTTACAATTATATTCGGTTTTTGTTAAGATTTTACAATTATATATATTATATCGTATGGTTCACTATACGACGTATGTATGTGTCCGTCAAAGTTAATTCCAACTTCCTACGATCCGACTACATTTGAAGTATACTTGAAAAGGCTGAAATAGTGGGTTCAAAAGACGAAGAAAAGTCAAAAATATGACATTCAATAAATTACGAGTGTAAGTACATAAAAACTCCTAAGTGCGCTTTTCCATTTAACTTTTTTTAACTTAATTAAAAAAAAATTCCTATACCGATACTATGAAATACGTAGGTTAAAGAAAATATCGTGCTTATAAGACATTATTCTGATGCTCGTCAATTCACAATTCTAAATAGTATAAGCTCGGAAAAAATATGCGTATACATGAAATACTCAAGTTATTTATCGAAAGGATTTTTATAATACTTTAATAAACTATAATAATCGAAATAGAAAAAAAATTATCGCCAGGAAAAAACTTTGACGTTCGAGTTCTCGTTTTTTAAGCGATAACCAAATATGTTTTTATAATATGAAATAATTTGAATTAGATTCTTAATCGACTACATTTTTAGTTAGATCCTTTATTTTCTGGTAATAGGCAAAAAAGTTTAAAATAAGGAAAATTTTTGTCCACCGAATGTCGCCCGATTACTTCGTGCTGAACGTCGAAAATCCTCGCCTTAAGTGCGAAGTTCACTTTTAAAATTGAAAATCGTCAACTAAAATGACGAATTAAAATAATAAATTGTAATTTTTAAAAACACGCATATAGGAACCAGTATATTAATATATTTAGTATATATATATGCAAGTTTTTAAATATTACAAGCCAGTGATGGAATGTTATCCCATTTAAGGGTAAGTAAGTGATTATGTAGACAACTGATTATGCCGAAGATGGCAAAGCGCACTGCCATAGCTTAACCAAAAGTCTATTTACTATTGCTTTAAAGATACCCACATTGTAATTGGGTGGAAAGAAAAACGCTGGTAAATTTTACCACCCCTTTCTTGTACACATTACGTAACAACAAACTATTAGGTTTGAATGTGCGGTATGTGGCCAACAAAGGGGTGGAAACCAGCTGAACGTTTGGTTGTGCGATGATGGAACGAAAAGGAAGAAATTAAACCACAATTCCTGCGAAATCTATCTGTATTTTAGAACACCGAAACACTTGCTACTTTGCGTCATTGCTGAAGATTGGTAAGATTTATTATCTACCCATATTAATGATATTTATGTAACTATTTAGATTTTTCAAGATAATCATTAACAACGACCAACGAAAATCTCTTAGAGGTTTTTCGGTTAAAATATAATCTTCTGAGACTCTCTCACACACACATACACACACATGCACACACACACACACACACACAAACACGCGCACGCACGCACACTGTCTGTTTATGAAATTTCATTACTATCGGTTCAGCTCATTCGAAAATTATCCCGTAAAGACAAACAGACAGAAATACAGACAAATATTTCAAAACTTGTTGTTCTCAATCAAGGGCATCGATTTATCATTTCCATATTACGGACAGATACTACAAGTTTATTTTATATCATTTCGATATTACGGACAGATACTACAAGTTTATTTTTTATCATTTCGATATTACGGACAAATACTACAAATTTATTTTTTATCATTTCGATATTACGGACAGATACTACAAGTTTATTTACATATATATGTTTTACCATATTTAGGTTACCATTAAGCCTCTTAGGTAGCATTCTGCTTAGTCTATAGTTGTATTGTGCCTTGTTTATAGGAATCAGACAATAACTACACATATTAGAATGATCGTCACTCCACTAATTTAACATAAGGTTTTTGTTTGATACCTACTAAAATTTTTCGGCAGTTTGAAACTTTAACTTTTATTTTAGTTGTTGACTATAGAAGCTCTGAAACAAAATACTACCATGGTGCTTCACTCGGATAACTCGAGCTTTGCTGCTTCTGTGGCTAATAGGTAAAACATTTTATAGAATTCTTAATCTTTTATGCAATGAAATAATCCTAAAAAAATAAAACTACGAAATAACATCGATAAGCGCCCATTACTATATACAGCCTGGTAGAGTGTAATTACAATAGATTAAAAATCTCTTGCACCTTTGCTAAAGCTTTTTGGGTGAATATTTTTTTTTATTATTGTTGTTTTACAATATTATAATAAGGTAATATTATAATAGTATTTAATACTTGTAAAAAATTTCAGTTTCTTAATTGACTCTGACATCTTTGAGATGTAGAGACGTATTGTGTCCTCAAACACGTTGCCATACTGTACAAAATCAAATAAAACTTCTTTTATATATTTACTCTCATAGTCGTCTTCATAAATTTGCGATAGTATCTTTAAAATGTTGAATACATCTAAGCGAATTTACATCAAATGTATATTTAGTAACTTTTAAAATATCGTAAGCATTCTTGTTTCGCTAAATTCAATTTAAATATTTTTTCAGCTACGTGCTTTCTGAAACAAATTCGACAACTAGCGATATTGAAAAAATTGCATATACAGCCCTAGCAGAAAGTGAGGTAACTTTTCTCTCATACATAAATATTTAATTAAATTATGTGTGGTGTGTCTCTGCGCGCCGCCTAAACTTAGCAAAGCAATTTGCAGAACCCGGGTGCGACATGGTGTGATAATCTGGTATGGAACCTAACCAATCATCTAGTGACATAAACAATAACATAAAATTATAAAAGAACTGCGCCTGCCAACCCGCCTGCCAAGCCTGAGGACTATGGCAAAAATCCGCCTATGAGGCAATCTATGGAGAAGACCTATGTTCAACGGTCGACTTTTTTAGCTGTAATGAATGGATGGATGACGAAGATTTTGAAATAAAACTGCAGAGTTTAGTTATGAAGATATGCGTATCCAGAGATGGCATTTGGTCGTGACAACCCTAGCATACAGCGAACTATGAATACGCCAATTTTTTTTTATATAAATATCGGTACTCGAGCAACCCGTACAGCACAGCATCGTCTGGATAGGATAGGATCAACTAATGTGGCATTATTTAAATTTAAGATCATTGAAGATCATTTATTTTATCAATTTTTAGTTTTATCAAAAAAATCAAGTTTTTCGAATAAAATAAAGCCTAGATCCCTTCTCGTATTGCTCTCTACTGGCTGATATTTTACCGTCTGGAAAAAATAGAGTGTAATAGGTGAACGGAATAAAAGCCTATGGGACTGATCATAGAATACTATAATACAAAATAGAATATCTGTCAACTTTATTTTGTACGAAGATTGGCGTCGCCAAACCCGATTCGCTGTGTTGACAGACTGAGTAAAAGACTTTTGATTAATGTTCAAGATCATCATTAAAAAATTTGTAAATAGGGTGTAATTTGACATTTTCTAAATAATGGAAACGATTGTAACGTCAAAACACATCTCGTGTTGACATTTATACGTGCGAATTGACGTGTTAGTGACATTTTAGTCGCTACGCGGGCTGCGCCCACTCCCCAGTTCTATTATGTATGTATTATAGTATTCTGTGGGACTGATATTTTAATTTTTATTTTTATTTTACATTAACATATTATGAAATTGATTTATCAATAAATACTACTAATTTGAAATAAACTTTCGGTATAAAAAAATTTTATGAACTAAATAAATAAATCAATTAAAAATCATCGAAATTAAAATAATACGTACTCAATTAGTAGTGTTTATTGATAGATCAATTTCATAATATGTTAATATGAAATAAAATAAAAATTGTAAAATATCAGTACCATAGGATTCTATTCCGTTCACCTGTTATACCCTATTTATTTCCAGACGGTACAAAAATGTATCCACTATATGTTCGTAATGATTCATCACATCTGGTTTATCCATTCTGTAGATGAGACCAGACAGAGATACTATAACTAATAAAAACTATATAAGTATAACTATATAACTACATAATTATTTTTATTCCTCTTATAAATTCAGTTATTTCAATATAACAATACAGATCGTCACTTTAATTTTAATTATATGCATCTACATAGATGTAAAGTTTGAAGATTATTTGCAAAGTAATATCACTTCTCTCATAACTTAACTATTTTATTTTATTTTTTCAGAGTCTTACAGAATATCTTATAACACGGGCGATCGACTCCCCTCAGCACTACGTCTGGGAGTTTGCTTACGGCATCGACATTAAAAGCCATGAAAACGGAAGCCATAATGTATGTTTCACTTGCTACAAACGCTGAATTGCATGCTTTTAGTGCCTATTTTCGAATATTTTATATAAAGTTGCTGAAATATAACGTAATATAAAGCTATGCTTTAAATAATATATTTTTGGCTACTTACTTTTTATAACCGCAGCCACAACCGCAAAACTGTCCACAGTCATTGACATAAATGTTATCTACTTATTACAGTGCAACCTTGATATAACGAAACGGAAGGGAATTAGAAATTATTCGTTATATCGAGTAATAGATTTAGAAATTATTCGTTATAATGCGGTTTGTCATATAGTTAGTGCCGTGTTTTGGCGGTTAAGAATATCCACTACCCCATATCTTCCCGTGGGTGTCATAAAAGGCGACAGAGGGAAACAGACAGGAGATGGGCAGCAGCATCAACTATATAACAAAAACCTGCGGTTGCCAACCCGCTCGACAAGCGTGACAACTATGGTAATATACCCCCCATGAGCAACAACGCAAATAGACGGCCCCCAGTCTCCGGTGTCTCCGGTGTCTGTCTACAATGGCGGTCATGGTAACGGCTAGGCAGGAGGTGCTAAGAATCTCCAGTGGAGGTTTTGGTTGCCACCTAAAACGACTCAACCTGGCAACATACAACGCACGCACCCTGAGGACTGACGAGAAGATTCTGGAGCTGGAAGAAGAGATAGACAAGTTGCGCTGGAATATTATAGGATTATCCGAGGTCCGAAGAGAGATGGAGGACACGGTGATTCTCGAATCCGGCAACTTGTTCTATCACCGGGAGGGCGACCGACCATCTGTCCAAAGGAGGTGTTGGATTTATCGTCCCTAGTTAACAACGTTGTAAAGATTGGGAGTGTGTCGACGACGGTTGCGTATCTTATACTCAGAATCACCAAACGGTATTCGCTGAAGGTCATACAGGTTTACGCACAAACGTCGGCACATCCCGATGAGGAGGTGAAGGAGAATGTATGAGGATATTTCTAGAGCCAGACATTCCTCCTGGTAATGGTAAGCTGAAGGTTGGGAAATTTGGTATACGGCAACAGAACCCAAGGGGCCACCAGCTGGCTGACTTCATTGAGAAAGAGGGACTCTTTATAATGAACTCTTTCTTCCAGAAGCGGCCCTACAGAAAGTGGACCTAGGTTGTTAGCCCCGACGCGACGGTTCGACAGAAAATGAGATTGACTTAATTATGACGACTAGACGGCGACTGTTCAGTGATGTCTCAGTGATCGCAAGGGTGAAAACAGGAAGCGATCACCGAATGGTTAGAGGCGTACTGAACCTAAACGTTAAGTTGGATAGGTCTCGTCTAATGAAGTCAACGCTCCGTCCCCCTCGTGCTCTAATCCAAAGAACCGAAACCTTTCAGCTTGAGTTACAAAACCGTTTTCAGTGCCTAGAAGATTGCAATACAATGGACTATATGGATGACAAGCTCATGGAAACTGTCCATGCGGTTGGAGCTAAGTTCCGCAAGACCCGCCGCAGAAGAATACAAAAACTCTCTGATCACACTCTTAATCTCATGGATATTAGACGGGAGATGAAGCTGCAGTTATTAGCAAATTTGACAGTATACAGGCAACTGAACAGACAGATCTCCAAATGCATGCGGCAGGACTTACGCAACTTCAATTTAGCTCGTATTGAAGAAGCGATTGAGCGGAACCAGGGCTCCAAAGTCTTTGCCATAGATCTGTCTGCCAGAAAGACCCAACTGTCAAAGTTGAAGACTGAGTGTGGCAGCACCAGAGATTTTGTGTGACATTTAGAGGTTCTATAGGCAGCTGTACACATCATCGTTGGAGTCACACGCAAGTGTGAGTAACGATCCAAGAGCAATTCTTATCCGACATAATTCCGATGATATCCCTGACGTCAGTCTGAGCGAGATTAGAATGGCTCTCCAGCACCGTAAAAACGGCAAGGTCTCAGGTGAGGATAGCATTACAGCAGAGCTTCTGAAAGCCAGTGTAACACCGGTACTCAAAGTCCTTCAAAAGCTCTTCAATTCCATCCTCCATGGTGGCACTACTCCGGAGGCGTGGAGCAGAAGTACAGTGGTCTTGTTCTTCAAGAAAGGCGATAAAGCTCTCTTAAAAAACTACAGACCGATTTCTCTTCTGAGCCACGAGCGTAATGTTGACTGTCGGCATATCGAAATACTGAAGTATTTGTGCAGTAGGGCTACGATGGCTTTCCGAGTACAGAACCAAAGTACGAAACCTATCCAACTGCAGAGAGGTGTAAGACAAGGTGATGTTATATCCCCGAAACTCTTCACCGCTGCATTGGAAGACGTTTTCAAGCTACTGGACTGGAAAGGATACGGTATTAACATCAATGTCGAGTACATCACTCACCTTAGACTTGCCGACGATATAGTCCTTATGGCAGAATGGTTGTAGGACCTAAGCACTATGCTCAATGACCTCAATAGTGTCTCCCAGCGGATAGGTCTTTAAATGAACATGGGCAAGACAAAATATATCTATGAACAACAGCATCCACTTAGCATCAAGTGGACTGTGAACTCGTTTATCTAAAAAAAATTTTAAAAACTACAGTTGCCATCGTATATTCACCTCAAAAAATTGGCGTAAACCGTAGGTGCGAGTACTGTACAGTCCCCTACACTACGACTACGCCGCGGCGGCGAGATCTCTCAGCCGCGCTTATATGGCTCTTATTCGACACTACACCAAGGAGCTCGACGCCACAATCCAAGTCACCGATAATCCACTAGCTTTAGATCTGACCCGAGTAAGTTTGAGTCGAACAATCCTGAAATAATTTGTAAAAATTTTATATGAAAAGTATTTTGTTTTTGTTTTACTAAACGTAATATTTTATTTATTTATAAAGCAAGACGTTTGTCATATCACTGTCTCTGGGAAAATCTATTAATACCTCCCGTATAGCATATAAGAAAAAAGTTAACAACTGGTTACTGGTTGCGTACCTAATTCTATAATAGTAATAATAATGTCCTACAGATCGAATTTCGGCCACGGCGGCCTGCCTCAACGGAGGCTAGCCATCGGCGCAGAACAGGATTATAGTGCCCAAGTGTATGCGCAAGCATAGGTGCACTCTCTATTCCATCACTCTCATATTCTGATGTGACGGCAAACCGACACGACCGGAGAGAGATCAGGCGCAGGACCAACGGCTTTACGTGCTTTCCGAGGCACGGGGGTGAGACACCGCTAACTTCCTGACTCTGGGAAGCTATTGAGAATTTCTTGACGGAAAAACTCAATAATTAATTTTTTCGCCCGACCCGGGATTCGAACCCAGGACCTCTTGATCAGTAGTCGCGCCACTACAACCACTAGGCCAACGAGGCAGTCGTCTCGGATGTATGACATGAACGGAGTAGAAGCCTATGGCACTGATATTTTACAAAAAAAAATAAAAACAACAATTTTGAATTAAATAAACTAATTAAATTCTATATAAATTCAAATCATATCCATCCGAGCCTGTGAACCTGCGAAAAGACGAGGTCAAAGATGCCTACTAAATGTATTGTTTTATCGCCTTTAAGCCATAAAGAAGGGTGGATATGATTTGAATTTCGATATATTTTAATTTATTTCTTTATTTGATTCATTTCCTTGTAAAATATTGGTGGCATAGGCTTCTACTCCGTTCATATTACACCCTATTTTTTTCCAGACGGTAAAAAAGGTCATCCAGTATATATTAGTAAGTGTACCAGCTGTAAGTTTTACTGTGTAGTTTTTATAAGAATCGGAAACGGAATTACGTATGTATGTGACGGGCCCATAGAATACTATAATACATACATAATAGAACGGAGGAGTTGGCGAAGCCCGTGTAGCCACTAACATGTGACTAACATGTTATGCAAATTATTTCAAAAATTACAAATTGTGCAATAAGTACGTGTCGAAAGAACAGCGGGAAATGGAATTTAAATAAAAGAGACATATCCTACAACTAGTAAGTCGAAACTATTTATATTTTGTGAATATTAGAAACAAAAATAAAGAAAAATTTATGTGTCAAAAACATTAATCAAAAGTCTAAAATGTGTTTGTAGTAGTGATCACTGATAATACGATGTATTTGCTTGTATCTGTGCTCCCGGCGACGTCAATCCTCGTACAAAATATGGTTGGCATATATTCTATTGTGTGTTTTAGTATCCTATGGGCCGGCCTTACGTGGTAATGGCACGCTGCAGCTGTATTATGGTTGCAGCACGAATGGGTCAGCTCGACCGGGGAAGAACCACTCTCTCACTTTATAATACTATACAAAATAACAGCATAATCCTACTGTGTATGGTGAGTGCAGAAAACTGGAGACCTCAAGAGGCATTCTATTCTCAGAGGTGACAACGCATTTACATTTTTAATTCTCTCGATAATAGGTGTTGGTATTCAGGGGTCAAAGCATCCATTTTATTATCGGGTGTACTATGTACTCATTTGTCACCCTATCTTCTAAAAAAATTAATGGATTTATATAAAATATTTAAATCGATCATAATGCAACTATTTTCAGTGGTTGATTTTCGCGGGACAACCTCCTCTACTGACACAATTCCTTCTCATTCTAACCATATTACATATAACCGTCTTGCCATCTAAAGAACATGGTCTCATAAGACATATGCAGGTACAGCCTTTGGATTTTCTCACGTAAATAGAAGAAGCATTTCATTATATTAAACATTGTGAAATTAATTAGCTAATAACGGAGAAAAAAATTAAATGAGTAGAATAGAATATAGCAATATCGTAGTGAAAACTTCTTTAGGACGTTGGGCACTTTTGGGATGGGAAAAAGCACTGAACTCGCGTGACCGTATGTACCCGCCGACATGTACTCGTATACAGGTACAGAATAAGTAATATAGGCAAATTGAGAAGAAAAATCAATTTAAAAAAATCAAATCTCAAACATTCTGTCCTTTTTTATATTTATACAAATCCATTATTTTAACTGATTTTACTGCGCACGCACACGTTCGTAATGGTCGACCGGGAGGCAAAAACGTTGTTTCCCATAAATCAATAATTATGAATAAAAGTAGAAGCCTTATTTACTCGTATTTTCAAAAACTGCAATAACGGCCTTAGTTGCGGAAGTGACAGTATTTTCTTTTGTTGTTTATAAATAAATCCATGTGTAGTCAAGTTAACGGGAGCGGTGGAGGCGTTTTTAAAAACTAAAATAAGAGATGTCCGTACAGAAGCTCATGTACTTCAACAATGGCAAACTTATTCTAATGCATCTTTCATGCAGACGTTATTACATTTGCTTACTCAAGTGACGCGATATAGGCCACACAGGGTGCAAAGTCAGCAATAGCATTTATGGACGTACTTGTATCACTCCATGTGGGGTCGAATCCATGACTGTGTCGCAGCGCCTCTGTGGGTAGTCGGAATTATTGTAAACAACACGTGCACCGCACACCTGCGCATTGCACCTGCAGTAGCGCTCGTGTTGCTACTTGTCTCGATTGTATAAAACGGACGAAGCGGCCGCCGTTAAGGCTGCGCCCTCCTTTCTGCCAAGGAGGGTCGCGTTCGTATACGGCTTAGAGATCTCTAGTTAGACCGTTAAGCCAGTCCCTAAAAGGCGGTGTTTAGTGGGTAAAAGTCTCCACATAACCACGCAGCCGGCTGCGTGGTATGCTATGAGCATTCACCGCCTCCTTCCTCCGCTTTCCGGAGGGTTGCCCATATTTGCTTCAGGCGCAAAAAAAAGCCGTTAAGGCAGTCAAGGTCTGGCGTGGCACGGTTCACTTGTTGTATCCCGCTACTAGCTCATCCTAGACTATTTGGAAAATAATTGCTTCATGGAAACGAATTAATTATTATTATCATGTATTAAATTAGTCTCAGTACAATTTACAGTTGATTACCTGTGATTAGAGCCGTGGTAGCTCAGTGGTTAACGCTCGCTGTAAATATAACAGAACGCGAGTAACCCGGGTTAGATCCCCGCCGGCACCAATGAAATTGTTAATTGCAATTTTAAGTGCTGATTTACCACGTGCTCGGCGGTGAAGGAAAACATCGTGAGGAAACCTGCATGTCTGAGGAATAAGAAAAAAAAAATATTTCGAAGACATGTGAAGTTCGTCAACACGCATTTGGGCAGCGCGGCGGACACTTCCTTGCCCTAAACCCTCTCAGAAATGAGGGGAGGCCTGAGCCCAGCAGTGGGACGTATATAGGCTGTTAACTTTACTTTTTTTTACCTGTGATTCGTGTATTTTGTGATTGTAAGTGAATTCTATTTTAACTACCTTCCTACACATGCAGTAATTATGTTTTTCAGATACATATATGTGTCGCAGTTAGATGGTTTAACCGGTGATATAGATCTATACTTAGGGATGTAAACTATATACCGTAATGTAGTTAGTTATACGTATGAAAGTGGTTCGTTACTGTCTTACTAGAAATATAACTATGTATGATACGAGCACGATAATAATTCAACCACGCGTATAATAATTATATCTTACTAGACTAATCTAGTGAAAGTATTGTATGTAACTTGATGCGCCACCTACCGGGTCAAACGTGTATGTGTAAAGGGTTCAGGTAATTCGAAGACACACAAAAAAATTATTAAAACCGGAACAATTGAATTTTATATATAGAAGATTATATAAAGTATTTATATAATATGTATTAACAACATGCTTTTAGTGCCACTCATCGAACTTTTCTCCAATGTGCTACTGGTTCACATTGTTCTTGTACGACTTGTGTTTGTATTTCCTCCTGGTGGCTTTGATGACTGCATTACTAGGTGCCACCATTTACTTGGTAACGCCGTCTGTGCACTTTCAAGTTGAAGATTTTGGTAAGCACAATTATTTTGTTCATACAAGTAAAAGTAACAAAAGATTACAGTGTTCAGATGATAACTGGAGGACGTAGGTACTACATAATATTATCTCGATTAAGTATGCAAATACAGATGGTTTATCACCCTTTACAAATAATAGGGAATGCCTAGTTGCTAATATAGTGGTGATGTGGTGACGCCACCAAGTTTCCTTACGACTCTACAATTTCAACAAAACCACGTGAGTACTATCACTGCTAAACGGGGGGTTAACTGCTTTCCAGCTTGTACACATTACCTTTCCAAATTTCACATTTTAGTCAACCAGTTAGTATCCACCTGCCGTCACTTACCATACACCAACATTTTTTTACGATCGTCAGTTTTTTCAGATACGTTGTCACTCGTGAGGACTAATAGGTTCGATTTACGTATTTCAAAACTACGTAAATCGAACCTATGGATGTTGGACTACTGGTAGTTTTTAAGATGTACATAATAATATTTATTTTGTATTAGATACTTTAGCAGAGAGTCGTACTATTTATTCACTGCACACAAACAGCTTAGATTCGATCTTCGGTGGCACATATGAAATCGATAATTGCAGTTTTAAGAGGTAATTTAGCGCATACTTGGCTGTTAATAAAACATTGTGAGGAAACATCCGTGTCTGAGGAAAACAAATATTCAAATATCAAACACATGTAAAGTTCTTTAACATGTATTGTGGCAGCACAGCAGTAATGAGAAGAGACCTGTGCCCAGCAATTGAACATATATAGGCTGTAACTTTAACTTTTTACTTATTTTTTTAGCAATACTTGCACTGCTATTAACTGTTTACGGAGTAGGATGCATACCTCAAGCTTATCTCTTCAGTTTGGGCCCGCAAGCCCAACTCAATTCTATGATCTTTATTATAGTCAACATTATATTTGGTGAGTATATTTTTGCATTCACACAAAAGTCTTTAAGTATTAAAATTATTAAATATTTTTTTAATAAGATTATCTTGTTTCCAATTAAAATATTATTATCTTTTCTCATCACACAGGCGAAACGACGATCATTGCCAAGATTCTCTACGGCGACGCATTAAACTATGCTCTGCACTTCGTGAGCTTCTCGCCACAATTCAATATGGCGTATGCTTATGTAAAGATAAGGAAGATATTTCTTTACAACACGGAGTGTGGTATATTAAAAACCAAAAACCTCTGCTCGGTGGAAGCCCTACATAAATGTTGCGGTAAACGATCAACATTTTGTATTTGCTACCGGTATTGAGTACAAAATAAATAAGCCGTGTAGTGGTGGCTCCAAGAGAATTCACAACCACCGATCATTTCGTGGTTATCGTAAGAAGGAATTCTGGTTATTAGTAATATATATACAGAGTGGAATCTCGATAACTCGATTTTCAAGGGAAATGCTAAAAATTTCGAGTTATTTCGAGTTTACATTCCTTTTGGATTTGAATGTTATGAGTTCGGGGAATTCCAAGTTTTACTTACTTCGAGTTATAGAGTATAAATATGTACTATCAATACCTTGCAGGGAAATCACATTTTGTTCCAGTTACAAAGACTAAATAACACGAGATACTGCGTATTTAGGGGTTCTGCGGAAGGGATGGCATTTTTTTCGTCTTACCGAGGATTATGACTTTTATGACTTAACGAGGTTAGACTTATCAAGGTTTCACTGTATTGTATATAGTGCTGTTAAATAGTAGCTGAGTATGTCCATGATAACAACTCAATATTTAAAAAAAACTACAATTGCCAACCTACCTGCCAAGCGTGGCTAATGAAAAATATTCCCCTAGTAGCTAAAAAAGTAGCTAATAAATAGAATAAGGAAAGATAAAAAATGAATTTTAAATAATATTTTAATATGCAAAATAAATATTTACTGAATGCGTTTTTTATGAGGGTATATCGTATCTATAAGAAACGCATCCAAAGCAGTTTTACAATGCGATCTGACAAATTACAGGAGAGTCGTCTACAATGATTAGGTCTGGTTAGTGGTGATTAACTGCAAGACAAAACTACGATACTAATTGTATAATTAAAATAAAAACTGGGTGGGGGGGGAGTGAGAGTGGGTCAGTCCGAACAGGCAACGATAAATTAACGATTGTTACAGAAAAATGCGGTGTTGTACAGAAATGTTTTACAAGGCAATCGTATCTTCTAAACAAAGAGACTGGAATTGTTATGGAACTGGTAGCTATACTCACCACGTCTGTGATATTCATGACTGTGTTGCTACTTTGGGAATATAAATTGATACAGCGTGGATGGATGTGCGCAGTGAACAAAATTTACCCGATTAAATATGCACGGGAACCGGATTCGTTGGGAGTTCAGAAGGAAAAGGAGAATGTTATGGATAAATATAGGCATCTTCATTCCAATCAGAGTTAGTTTTCATAAAGTAACAACCGTTATACATCCCGCTACGGATGGCAAAACTTCTCTAACTTTTGAGTGGGTAGTAGGAAATAAAATACATAAGAATTTACTACCTGGCAGGAGGGAAACCAATTATGGATTTTTGATAATAGTAACATGGTATAAATATTTGCTAATGGTAAATTACCGGGAGTTCCGTTTAGTGGCAGTGTAAGTATATCCAATACCCCATATCATCCCGTGAGTGTCAGAAGACAAAAGAATCAGGAGAAAGGCAGCAGCATCTTTCTAATAAAGACTAAAAATAAACTGGGGTTCCCAAAATCATACGTTAGTGGTTTATTATGAAGTAAATCGTCAATCCATCACCGCGTTTAATGTTTTGTACTGTATAATTAAGGACACTTTATTAACATTGGAGAAGGCTTCTTCTAGCAGTTCTGATCCTAACCGCACAAACTGTATAAACCTCTTACCTATTTCTGGTGTCCAGTATTGTAGGTGGTCCATAGGCTGCAACACTTACTGGACTGTTAGTTCGTTTGTCAGTTCGATATTATAAATAACCTAACCTAAACCTGTTGTAAACCTGTAGTTTTTTTTTTACTTCTCAGATTTCATAACGACGTTTGCTTTAATTGCCGTGCATGGTTTTCTGTGTAATCATCACTTAAAATTTATTTTAAAATATTCTCTAGAGAAAAATAGTATTTTTTAAAAGTTACTAAGATTCTCTCCTGTATCGTGGAGGCAGTTTACAAACATAAATTGCACAAGGACAAAAATCCAGACCCGGAACAATTATGTATAGGGTATATAAATACTTTGATTAAAATTACTTTTACGGAGTTTATCGCGTTTAATTTCTTGATTTTTAATTCCCGACGTTTCGGGTTTCTTGAAGTCTTGCAGTAAACCCTCTGCAAGACTTCAAAACACAGTAAGTTCACGAAACCTCGTGAATTAAAAATCAAGAAATTTAACGCGGTAAGGTCCGTAAAAGCAATTTTATTAATCAACGTGTAGTGTTCACGTAAATATTAGAAATCATTACATATAAATACTTGTTTCGTGCGGAATTCGAACCCGCGGGTTTCAGCGCCGCCGCAACTCAATTTCAGCTAATGCGCCACGGAGCCGTCTAGTCATATATTGTCAAGAGCCATACGCTCTCTATAACATTTACGTGGGCCACTCAGAAAGTTTTGGGAATGATTTCTTATATTTACGCGAACACTACACATTTAAATAAAACTAGTTTTTACGGATTTTATCGCGTTTATTAAATTATTTTATATTCCCGTATTATTTAATATTTTTCCCCAACACTTTCTGCGTGATGACTTTTCACTTGAACTTGATCGCCGGCGTATTGTTGCCCCTGTTTTAAATACTTTTAAATAATGATTTGAAGCAGATTTTGATACGTAAAAGTGATGCGATTTTATGATTTTATGATGATATGTATTAAGTGGAAACGACGAAATAAGTGCTCCAATGTTGATGTAAGCCTCAAGTTAATTTGTTACCTTGGGCGCCTTAATAACTTGAGATACTGTCGTATTCGCTGTCTGCGGCCTTAAGAGAAAATGCGGGCTGAAAGACTATTGAAAATTACTTATTTAAAAAATCTATTGTTGTCGCAACTGCGAGCGCGAGTGCGATAAGGACAACTGCACACCAGACTGAACCTAAGTAAAAAGCATAATTCGAGGTTTGGCTCTCTACTATTTCCTCCTCCAATATTGGACCAATTTAAAAGATATTTCATAAACTGAATAAGAAGAATATACACTATGTCCATATGTTTTTCTTTTTTCAGTATTAGTTATCGAATTTAAACATTAGCCCACTGTTGACAGCGGTCTAAATAGGCAATATTGAGCATTTGTAAGGGTTATAGTGCTTAATGTATCATCAGAAAGGAAAACATAGAGACATAGAACAGTGTAATATTTATTTTACTGTAAAAATCGTTACTACGCGGTAATAAACCAGAACTAAAACAGGCTAGAGCGTTTATATGAAGAAAAGACCATTGTCACGCAATTACATATTGTGGAGAGGTTTTTAAACAGATTAATATAATTAGCTTTTTTAACAGAATAACATAGAGATTGAGTTTGAGACGATGTTGGTCCACTTTTAAGTTAATATTATGTAAGACGGCTGTTTCGGACGGCAGGAACACGTCCAATGCCCGCACAGTCGCCCTGGGACAATCTCCCACTTGACGTACGTTCCTTGCTTAGTGCTGGTGACGCACATCCCACGCACCTCTGAATGCGCATGTATAGTACGACCCTATTGGGACCTCGAGAGAGAGATAGACGAGTAGCCGGGAGGAGGCAATTAAAACACTTTTTTCTTAGGTAGCTTCTTGTTCCTTAGGTTTCGGCTTCCTTTTTCCTTGTTGTTGCCTCTTCGACGGCTGTGCTGCGACTGCGACTTGAGCCTTTTTTTTGCGCCCGAAGCAAATATGGGCAACCCTCCGGAAAGCTGGGGAGGGAGGCGGTGAATGCTCATAGCATACCACGCAGCCGGCTGCGTGGTTATGTGGAGACTTTTACCCACTAAACACCGCCTTTATGGATTGGCTTACCGATCTGACGAGAGATCTCTAAGCCGTACGCGACCCTCCTTGGCAGAAAGGAGGGCGCAAGCGGCGAAAAGCCGCTTAGAAGTGCGCCTAACTAAGGCAGATTAAGGGATGTGTTATGTAGGCTCGGCCTGAGCCGCTAGGAGGCAGTTGAGGTTAGCCGAAAGCTTGTTGGGAGGGGGGGTCCGAGACAGAGTTTCTCGGTCTGCGCACACTATAGCGAGTGTGGATAGGGGCTGCATAGGCAGATGTCTCACGAATGAGATGATTTGGGTGGGACTCTGAGACTTTGAAAAATCTGTCAGAGAGTGATTTAAGGAACTGCTGGATTGTTGGGAGCTCTAAGTCTCGGTGTAGGTCGGCATTACGGACATAATAGGGCGAGTTAGTGGCCCTACGACAGAATAGATGTTGAACTATTTGAAGTTCATTTATAACTTTGGGTTTAGCATGTGAGAAAATGGGGGCCGCGTAGGTCATAACAGGTCGTATAAAGACCTTATATAGGGCTCGCTTGTTGCGGACAGACATTTTACTGGGTCTACCCAATATGCTGTTGAGCCTACCCATGTAAAATCGCGCGGTGCGAGTTACCTTCTTGATATGGGGCTCGAAAGTGAGCCTTGCATCAAGGGTGACGCCTAAGTATTTGTCTTTTGTTTGCCATGGGGCAGGGGTTCCTAACATCCTGATTGGCGGAGTGGCGGTGAGACGGCGTCGTTTATATTCGAAGCAAACGGCGGAGCTCTTCTCCGGGTTTACGTCGATACGCCATTTTTGGAACCAAGCTCCTAAGTCGTTAACTGACTTTTGGATCTTGTTCCGGATCTGTGGCAGTGGGTTGCCTTTAGAGTAAAGGGCTGAGTCATCTGCGAAGAGGGCTAGTTTAACACCATTCGACGGGATAGGGTAGTCGTTGGTGGATAGCGTGCCTTCGTGTCTAAAACGAAAGGTACGATCCTTCAAATAGGAGGCTACAAGGCGGACGAGGCGGTCAGGGAGGCCTAAGTCGTACAATTTGTAGATAAGGCCCTCATGCCAGACTCTGTCGAATACCTTGGCAATGTCGAAAAAGACCGCGATGGTCTTTTGACGACGAGGATAAAAACCTCTAAGGATATATTCCACTATGCGGTGAACTTGCTGGGGGCACGAGTGTTTGGCACGAAACCCGAATTGTTGAGGGATGACAAGAGGGTCGCCGTCTGTGGGAAACAAATGGCGCCTCAT